GATTGATTTCCTGGGTGCTATGCCCTAGAACTGAGTTCTCCCAGAACTGAAGTAGTTCAGCATCTGCATTGCTCTTCTGGAGGGGAGGGAGTAACCCAACTTGTCTGGGGGAGACCAGAGGATCTGGCACAGCAGGATAGGGTGGCAAGGAGCCCTAGAGAACAAGCAGGCAGGCGTCAGTGGCATGATCAACACACCAGGAAATAATCTCATTGGAGTCTTCTGTGACCGCACCTGCCACATATCCCATGGAAAAGTACACTGCAGTTGCGTAATAGGAAAGTAACAAACATATCAATTTCTGTAGCAAGATCTGCATCCAAAAGGAAAAGTCACAATATCCTAGCCAAATAAATATAGTAAAAAGCTGACTGGGTTACTTCTGTTACATACGTGTTAAACATTTGGAGGGTCTAAAAATCACTTCTAAATTGAGAACCCTGGTAGCTAACAGTACATATACTTCCTCAATAAAAGAAATAAATATTACCTCTGACGTTTCCATACACCTTTAAAATAATCAATATATTTTAAAGAACATCCCTTTTTATAGTCATTTTGTAGCAATAAACCACTTTGATTTTAATGTATGGTGTAAGTTACCCTAAAACAGAAAAAAGTGTAATGGAACTCTGATTAACTGATGTGCTTGGGACCAGGGCCCGATCAGATAATCAAAAATTCAGATAATCAGCAGAATGGGCAGTACTCTGGCTGTTAGCCCTCGAGAGGCTGCAAGGCTGACAGCCCAAGCTTCACTACCTAATTGGATTAATATGGAGAGTTGAATGGTAGAGGCTTAAATAAATGCCATTTTACTGTATTCTAATTATTACATCTTCTATTAAGCAAAAGTGTATTTATATAAAGAATTATGAAACTTTGCTAAGTGTTTTTAATAAAGAAATTAAAATTCTCAAAATAAAAGTTTGATTTGTCCACACAAGTTTATCATCTATTAAAATATATATCAACTTGAAATCAAGCTGAATTTTAAAACAATACGTTAAGAGCTTGAAGTCCTGAGTCCATATACCAAATTTGTGATTGCATATTCAGGTTTCATTATTTTAAAAAATGTTTCTCTCTCACCTATTGCTGTATGAAATACTCGTGCAAACAAAAGGGGGAAACTGATTGATAACCCACAAAAAAATTATGAAATTGACTATTCTCAAAATGTTGAGGAACATATAAAGCCCTTTAAAAAGCGGCATGCACCAGGGTTCATCCCACCCCTGCCAGCTTCCCACCCTACCCTCTGCCTCCTACCCTTCTCGTGCCGGTCATGTGGTGGCTCAGCCAATGGATAAATAAAACTCAGTTATATTAATCTTAGATACAATTTATCAGAGTAGTAAAATTTTCATGTGTGCCTATAGATTTTTAAGTTGATGATTTTTTATCACCCTGATACAATTTCTATTACAGTCAGTGGAAAGACTACTATCAAATTCAATGATATTGGATCGGGTTCTTAAATAAACACTAAAAAAAATTTTAAAGCCACTCCATCTACATCTGGGACAAAGCAGGGTACACCTATTGCTTTCAACGTATGTTATGCTTTCTTGTTTCCCCTTTAACTCACACTTGACCCCAAATTCAATGTACCTTTTATTGTAAACTTGGACATACTTTAACTATGTTTGAAATATTCACTTCAATAAAACTTTTCAACCTGCTCTATGCCAAAAATAAATGGATATACACCTGCTTTATATGCTGGATATAAAGCACAGCAACATAACAGGCTCCTTTTAATAGGAGTTTCTTGCATATCAAAAATATCAACTGCATTCACAGGACAAAAAAGAGTGTGACTGTGTGCATGCATGTGCACACACACACACAAATAAAATTATAAGCAGCTGCAAATATTTCCATTCCAAAAGATAATGATAATCTTCAAGTAGTACATGTGTCATCCAATGAAACTAAAAGATAACATGTTTAAAACAAGTAAGAGGAAGTATTTCTTCATACAATACACAGTCAAATGTGGAACTCGGTGCTGGTGATGTTGTGAAGGTCAAAAGTATAATTGGGTTCAAAAAGCACTTAATTCAAGAATGAAACCCCCATGCTTCAGATGTATCTAAACCTTTAACTGCCAGAAGGTGAACTGGATAATAGGTTGGATCATTCAGAACTGCCTGTAGTTCTCATTCCTCCTGAAGCATCTGGCACTAGCTACTATCAGAAACAGGAAACGGCTAGATGGGCTACTGGTCTGAACCAGTCTGGCCTTTTTTATGCTTTTTAATCGAAGAGTGTGCGGAAACTAGTGTGCACATACCAATGGACAATAAAGGACTTTACCAATTGGCTACGTCTACACTGGCCCCTTAGACTTTACCAATATTGATTAAAGGGAAGTATTAGTGACTAGTGGCAAATAGTGTCCCCGAATGTTCCCTCTAAGCACAGAAATGAGAGTAAAGATTTATAGATAAATAAAATTGCAACTAAAATGAACATTCAGAGAAACACCACCAACTCATAACTATATTTTTAAATATGGTTTCCAAAGTTAATAGAAACACTGTATGCCCACTATACCAAAACAATAACTGTATTTAATAGGAAAAATATCTAACTTTCATTACCATTACAAAAAAACTGCTATCCTTATGTTTGCCTATTTTAATAGTGTAGAGTGAAATCTGTGTTCATGCGCACGCGCTCTCTCTCTCTCTATAGATATAGATATATACACACACACACAAACACACACTTGCCTACTCTATTTGATGTAGATATCTTTGATGATAAATTTGCAGCAGCATCTGATAAACTATAGTCATGTAAATATAACTAAGTCTTGTGTTGATACAAAATTGGTATCTGCATCTGCAAAAGTGATCTACAGATATCTGCAAATTTGCATTGTTGTAGATCCAAAATTTGTATCCATATCCATAAACATGAGCTGTGGATATCCGCATCCACATCTGCAGATTTGCAGGACTTTAAATATAACTGCTTCATCTGCCTTCTGACCCCTAATCCATCACCACCAGGAATTAAAATTCCAAACCTCTAACATTCCAAATCTGTAAGCAGCTTTCAAACAGTTTTGATTAAAAAAAAATTTTTTTTTAAAGAAGTACAATCTCACACACCACCAACAAAAAAATCACTTACACCTCTCCAAAGATATTTCCTGCCAAAACCACATTTGTCTGACACATAATGGGCAACATTCAACTCTGGATCAATGACATGTGTAAGGTTCAGTAGCTCTCAAACTACAAGAGCTAAAACCAAATATTTGTATATCATGATACTCTTTCCAGTAGTATGCAACATTTTTAGTATTATATTTTCATTCAAATTGAGAGCTTTCATTATGAAAGCTATTTTCAATACACTTTGGAGATTTTGAAAATTTACTAATTGATAATATTTGTCTTGCTCGGAGGTTTGAATGGTTATGTCAATCCTAATGTCTTCCACAGAGCTTTATTATTTTTAAGACTTTTCTTCAAAGTTAGAGATGTGTACACTATAAAATAAGTTTGCAAGCATGAGACTATGAAAAATAGCACCAATAAATACAGTCATTAAGGACACCAATTTAAGAAGTAAACTAAGATTGCCAGCACAGTGCACCAAAGAAGAAAAATACAATCACAACTTCAAACCTCTCTGAGTGCTTACTCCTAGTTCTCACCAATCACCCAATCCTGGAATCCATACAAGACAGAATCAAACAACTAAAACCCCTCCTCCATGGTGTATCCATCCTGAATCTTAATGGACTCGTTTAACCTTCACAGTTACATGCAAGTCCACCCCCTTCCAAGTTCACCCAAAGAAGAAAAATACAATCACAACTTCAAACCTCTCTGAGTGCTTACTCCTAGTTCTCACCAATCACCCAATCCTGGAATCCATACAAGACAGAATCAAACAACTAAAACCCCTCCTCCATGGTGTATCCATCCTGAATCTTAATGGACTCGTTTAACCTTCACAGTTACATGCAAGTCCACCCCCTTCCAAGTTCACCCCCCCACTCGCTTCCCCCCCCCCCTCTTCGTGCTCCCTCTGACGGGG